AATTTGGCTGTGCCTTATATAAGTGATTTCTGATTGCACTTGTGAAGTATATAGCGGCTCAAGAAAAACGAATGTAATGGATGAAAAATCGACGTCTATTGGATCATCCAAAAAATTGTACATTTAAGTCGATTTTTTCATTGACGGCGATTTTGGTTACGTGGGTCTGTATCTACGCTCGCCCATCTTTCTTTTATACCTTTTATTACTGCGAATATTACACAATTGTGATTAGATTAAATGAACACCAATTCTTCTCTGTTTCATTTTTGGGGTAATAAAATTATCATAAGGAAGCTCTAGAGTGTATTATTTCTATTCGATAAACAATAAAAATACAATTCGGTAAGATAATTGTAACAACTTGAAATGTATGTAATAATAGCAATGCTGTTGAATGTGATTTTTTATGCTTCTTCTTACTCCGGAAATCGTGCAAGGTGTTTTCGGAATCAACATTATATTTTCATGATTATTTGAAGAAAAATCAATTAATAGACTTATTAAGATGCTAAGTGCCAATTACAGACTAATTGAATCTGTGATTTAAACAATCAATTTTATCTTATTACGGATATTCACATATTAGATTATGTTTACGTGTGAAATCGCTGTTAAAAATTGATGAGTATGTAATTTTTGTCGATTTGGAATTAGGCAGAAGATTTCCATCCAATTTGTGGTTATGGTTTATGGTTGAATTATTGATTTTGTCATTTTGGTCAATCGTGATTCGGTCTGTTAATTTTGGAATCAAAACAATTGAAGTTTTTTTTGTTGATTATTATAAAGTACAGTAATATAATTCCGTTAACTTGATAGAATTTCCGATTACTAGATTCTCACTGAATTCAATCCAAAATTGACTGGAGAAAGTTAATTTTGATGCTTCTGTATTTGATTTGCTTCAGGATTTTGACTTTTACTCTTTATTTGATTTAATCTGATCCAGATTATATTGAAGTTTAGTTTCAGAACTTAAAAACGAAGAGAATAACTTAAAAGCTAAAAGATTAGCCTCAATGAAATCTACTGCTACTAAAATAATACTTAGCGTAACCTACAAAAACTAATTTTCCTCTTTTGAGAGGTCTATTTTGTATAGAAAAGTTTAAAATTCGATTAAAAGATTTATAGAGGTAATGTAGTAAGCACAATAACACATCTTTATAGACTTTCATTTTCAAAACAAATGAGATAAATCTTTTTTTTCTTTTCAATTCGTACTCTAATTTTACTAAAAAGTAGCGGTAATAAAGTATGTAAAAAGATGTTACAATGAAAATTGTAACAAAATTATTTTAATGATGATTATATTATATTTAACAAATCGTATTTCGGAAGGTGTAATTTAAAAGGTGATTCAGTAAATGCGTAAAAGTAGCACCTCGTTGATGGGAAAATAAAAATAATTTTTGGCACATTTTCTTGTGAATGAAATTAACTGTTTGATCACTTTGTTTTCGTTGATGAAGGGAATTTAAAATATATTAGTAGTAATTTGATTAAAATTAGCTTTTAAATTGAAATTTAAATTTTTAAAGTTATATTAGTTTTTTTTTTGAATTTAAAAAAGGGGCCGTTCACTTATTACGTAACGCAAAAAAACTGATTTTTTCACCCCTTGTTACAATATGTTACAACTCACAACCCCCCCCCCCCCCCTCCCCCCTGAACGTTCATAATTTATTTTATTTTTATTACATACTTTTTGACACCCCCCACCCCCCCCCCCCTTCTATGTTACATTTTGTTACAATTTTTCAAACCCCCCCTCCCTCCTAAAATGCGAACGTAATAAGTGAACGGCCCCAAAGAAACCTTTTAGATTTGAAATTAATAAAAAAAACTTAAATTTTTAACTTTTGAAATATTCAAAATTTAATCATTTTCAATTTTAAAAATATCATCTAGTTTAAAAGTAGAAAAATGCGCCTAAATTCCAATCTCAATATACTTCAAAGACGACTTTAACAAAAAAAAGTTTTTTATTTATATTTTTTGCCAATTAACACAATAAATCACAGCATCTCTTTGTGGCTTTCTATTCAGAGAAATTTATGTTTCGCACATTATAATGTTGTTTTGAAATTAATGTAACACATCATTCGTTTCACATAAACATTTTAAAAAGTAGATGTTAAAATGAATTTATTACAGAGTCAATTTAAATTATTATGTTCGAGCATAGAAGAACTCCAGTCTCATAATACACACAATATAATGTGAGTAGCCCAAGTAAACAAGCTTTATGCCATAATTTTGTGCAACTTAGAACGAGTGTGGTTAATTTGGGTTTATGCATGTTTATGTTTACCAATATAAAGATTTTTTTTCATTGGTTTTTAAGGTTTTTTCTCTTGATGTCTAAAAATGAAGCATCTAGAGATTAACTGAAGGATTGTTGCTATGCAAATAACTACATAAAAGGGATAAAGAATTTTTGAAATTATTTTAAATTTGAAAATTGCATCTCAAAAAGATTTATAAGTCCCACACTTGACCATTGCATTGTGGTGAATGCTTTAATCTTATCTTCATTTCTACATGGACGAGACGAGAATTTGTCGGACTAAAAGTTTTCTGGAAGGAGACCGAGGAATTTTTGTGCAAACTGAATTGGATTTGTTTGAAATTAAATTAAATGAATAAATCGGAATGAATTTGAAATTTAAAGGAGAAGTTCTTTTATAATAAATTTCAACTAATTTACTTTGCATTTTTCATTTAATTTTTTTAAGCTATTAATAACGGAAGTTGTTTTTTCAAAATTATTTTATAGGAAAGCTTGGTAGATTTCGGAACAAAGTTGCTATAAAGAATTGTTTTAAAAAGATTTCAAGATAAAAATTGAATACAAATGTTGCCTGTATGCAGCATAAACAATTCAAGCATTGCATGCAAGTAACATAAGCAATTTAAGTTTTGTAAACAAGTTTCATTTCCAATTCAAGTATTGCATGCAAGTAGCATAAACAATACAATTTTTGAATGCAAGATTCATCCAACATGCAACTTTATCTTGTACAAAGTTTCATTCAAACAAAAGATTCTCAGTCAATAAAATTGTGCAAAAGATCCAGAATTGTACAACCCATACCATCCAAGTTCTTTGTACAAAATTCCAATTCCATTAAATTCTTTTATCCAATAAAAATAATAAATCCCTCAAATTCTTGCTTCCAATAAATTGTGCAAATCTCTTAAATTAATGAAGAGTGATCAAGCTTTTCTCATGTTCGTGTTAAGTCGATCTTTAATTCTTGTTTTATGAACTTCTTCATTTATACCTCAATCTAAAAATCCCTAAAATGCAGATAGTACTGCCAAGATGTAGATGGTACTGCTAAAGTGCAGATGAAATTTATTTTCCCTAAAATGCAGATGAAATGCTGTTGCTTTAAAAATGGTATAATGCAGATAATTTTTATCGTATAAAGTGCAGATAAGATGCTGCCTAAATGTAGATCGTATAGTTTTGTATCTGTTATAATGCAGATAATTTAACATTGGATATTAATTATTTGGGCCCGACGAAAAAAAACTATTCGTGAGTGACGCTTTGGTTTCTTAAATATCTCCGTAAAAAATAAAAATTGCTTTCTTTTGACATAGAACTCATTTTCTAAAGTTAAGGATTTATGTCGGAAAATCACATTAATTAAGCGTCACTCACGAATAATTTTTATAAATTTTGTTATAACTTTTTCATCTTTCATTGATATATCTGCAAATGTATTTTTTTAAATTCACACCGTTTTCACGTGTGAATCTATTGGTTTTGTTCAGATTGAAAAACCAGTTTTTTGAATTTTGTGAGAAAACGAAGCAAAATTGGTTATAAAAGGTCCTAAAAGAAAAGTTTGTGCCTGAAATTTTACATCTTTTGCAAAAATCAGATTTCAAATTGATTGAGGCATTGCTGAGAAAATCGCAAAAAAAGCTTTATGTAAGCAAACAACAAGCAAGTAAGAAATCTCAATAACGAGACCTCGTAGAGACTTCTAGTTTTATACATTTGATCCGTGCTGCTCTATAGAAGAGCTGTATTGTTTTTGGGCAAGATAGGAATAGCCGTTGCTTCAGAAAAAGCAAAAAACTTTCCTTTCCTACGAATGTTTTAAAACAAAAGTTTACTGTGATTCTTATAAAATTCAACTTTGGATGAAAATTTTTTTTAAAAAACTTTTAAAGAATGTTCGTTAAGTTTAAAACCTTCACACATATGCTGAGAGGAGCTCAATTGACACGCTAGCTTTATACCTTCAAACGTATGCTGAGCGATGCTCAGATGAGCTGCGCTTTGAAGGTATAAAGCTAGAAAGTCACCTGAGCTTCGCTCAGCATATGTTTGAAGATATAAAGCTGGTTCGTCAGGATTTATACCTTCAAACTTATGCTGAACAAATCTCTGTCTATCCATAAGACTTTTGATGGTACGGTGCGAAAATATCCGCATTGGGTTTCTACCCGATACACTAGTTTTGTTGTTAAACGACATGTAACATTTTTGCAAGATACATAGATGAGCTCATAAAAAGGATACTCGACCCAATATATACATAAATATGTCGTCAGACAAAATAATTACCCTTAAATTTCATTATGGATCATTTAAAGTCATTAACACGCATCAAGAAAAAAAGTCATCGAATATTGATGTATTTTAATGAAATTATACGATCTACATTTAGGAAACATCTTATCTGTACTTTATACGATAAAAATTATCTGCATTATACCATTTTTAAAGCAACAGCATTTCATCTGCATTTTAGGGAAAATAAATTTCATTTGCACTTTAGCAGTACCATCTGCATCTTGGCAATATTATCTGCATTTTAGGGTAGCTGCATTTTAGGGATTTTTAGATTGAGGTGTAGTCTTTCATTTATTACGTTAGACAAAAACTACTTTCAAGACCCACATTCATGTTTTATGTTTATAAATAATTCTGGTTGATCCTACTAGTAATGTAAACGCGTATCAAAAAGTTTGATACCCCCTGCCAAAACTTTTATTAAGCTTTAAAAGCTAAGCACCAATTTTAATAATTTTTCTTATAACTCAATAAATCAAGCTTACTCGAATACTACAGTTTGACTATCTTCAGGCTTAATTACAACTAATCTTTTATCGTCATTTTGGAGTTCTAATTCTAAACGACGGATTTGCCATTTATCTTTGTCAGATGGTCTGTCAGCCCAGAAGTACATAGTTCCCTTATTTTGTGGTCCTTTCACTTTAACTTCAAAATGGGCTTCTGTGTTGTTTGCGTAATTCGGATCACCTACATCTAGTCCTACTTCTTTTATTGGTTCTCCAAGGAGGTATTTGCAGCCTGAAAACATTGAAATTGAATGACAAAGATCCAGGACATGTAAAATATCAACAACACTTAAATGACAGCTGTTTTCTTATACCTTCGTGTGTCCTTAATACCTTCATGGAATCTCTGAAATACTCAGTCTGTCTCACTCTTTCTAAAATAATTTAATTTAATAACTTTACATAGACTAATTTCAAAATTATGAAATTTACCTTTAAGCAAGCTTCTCATAAGCATAACGGATGTCATTCCACCAACTGCTATATAAACGCTTGCCTTCCATAAGAATCTATTGGAGAACATTGACATATTTAAGGAGATATTATTAAATTTAAGATTTTATTGATCGGCAAAAAAGTTGTAAATAAAAACTTGTCAAACCCTGAAAATAGAAGTAACAACAAAGTCAAGATCGAGCAAAAACGCATGTGTATGAATAAAAAACCAAATTTTAATGAAGATTTATAGTTAAATTAACAAAAACAGAAAGTTAAAAAGTAAACAGTCTTTAAAATTTCAAAATACAACGGTTTTCAAAAAATTGAAATTTTTTTGACAAATAGTCAAAAAGGATAACGGCTGGAATTTTTTTAAATTACCTCACACTATTTTGTTTATTTTGAAAATTCAACAAAACACGTTGTACTGTCAATTTAATTAAATTTCTCGAGAAATACGATTTATAATGGGTAGAAAGCACAGAAAACCAAACCACTTTGCTCAAAGGAAGAGATACAACAAGGTAAGCAGCATGAATCATGCAGTTAAATCAGTAAATAATGAAAAATTAAAATTCTACAGGGAAAAATAGCATTAGCACCGTTTGATCGTCGTTCTGAGCCTTACAAGGAAATAGTTCGCGAGAATGCCAACTTTGAGACTTACTATAAGCACGAAAAAGTCTGTCCAGAAGATCAATTTGAGAAATTCATGACTGCAATGAGAGCAAATTTGCCTGTAAGTTGTTTTTGTAATTTCTGACCAACGGAACCAAGTATTGTTGGACTTGACATTAACATTCATTGACATATTAATTTACTTACAGACAACATTCAGAATAACTGCATTTAAAGGAGAATCCAAGCGTTTACTTGAAATTGTCAAAGAAAAACTATTTACTGACTATATAGCAGCTCTTAAGGACTTGGAAGAATATGATGAGGAACAATTAAAGCCAAAAAGTTTATGCTGGTATCCAGATGAACTTGCTTGGCAGTTACAGTTGACAAGAAAGGACATTCGACGTTCAGAAAAGCTGTTCCGTCTTCATAACTTCCTGATTGCTGAAACTAAAAGTGGAAATATCTCTAGACAAGAATGTGTATCAATGATTCCGCCGGTAAGTGATTAATGGGAAGTTTAAAGCTATATCCAATTCAATTTTGCCATTATAGATCCTTCTCGACGTCAAAAGCCATCACAAATGCGTAGATCTATGTGCCAGCCCTGGAAGTAAGACTGCTCAAATTATTGAGGCACTTCATTCAACAAGCAATGGAAAAATCCCATCTGGATATGTCGTAGCAAATGATATAGACAATAAGCGTTGCTATATGTTGGTCCATCAAGCTAAAAGACTGAATTCTCCTTGTTGCCTCATCACAAACACTGACGCTGGTCGATTCCCAAATCTTTTTGATAGAGAAAATAAAATAATTAAATTTGATCGAATTCTTGCTGACGTTCCATGCAGCGGCGATGGAACTTTGCGTAAAAATCCAGACATTTGGTTAAAATGGAGTCCAGGACATGCAATTGGACTTCATGGTATGCAATATAGAATCGCTAGACGTGGTGCTGAAATGCTCGCAGTTGGTGGACGAATGGTATACAGCACATGCAGCATAAATCCTTTAGAAAATGAAGCTGTAATTAGTCGATTGATTCGTGAATGTGATGGGGCGTTAGAAATCGTTGATGCTTCGTCTTATGTTAAAGGATTAATTTACAATAAAGGAATGACATCATGGGAACCGGCAACAAAAGATTTAAGATTTTTTAAAAGCTTCGATGAAGTTCCAGTCGATACACAAACAGTTATTCATAAGGAAATGTTCCCACCAGATACAGAAACAGCAGCAAAATACAAATTAGAGAATTGTATTCGAGTTCTGCCTCATCATCAAGATACAGGTGCTTTCTTTATTGCTCTAATTGAGAAGAAGTCATTGCTACCTTGGGAAAAAGAAGTTGATGATAAATCTATTGAAAGTTCAGCACGTAAAATTGTTGAAACTGAAAGCACTAAAAATGGCGAGGAACAACCAGAAAATGCAAAGAAAAAGAGGCGAGTACATTATGGATATCGTGAAGATCCTTTTGTATTTTTTGAGCCTAATGAAGAAATTTTCACATCAATTAAGAAATTCTACGAATTAAGTGACGATTTTGATCCTTCATGCTTATTAACTAGATGTAATTTCGGCAAGAAGAAGAATATCTATTTATGTTCACCAGAAATGCGCGATGTTTTGCGTAAAAATGAAGATATTATTAAAGTCATTAATTCAGGTGTTAAAACATTTTCACGATGCGATAATAACAGAAATATGGAATGTAGCTTCCGATTGGCTAATGAAGGCCTTCATAATATTGATCAATTTGTTGGAAATAGACGTCGGATACATGTTGAAAATGAGGATTTGGTAAAGATTTTAAATAATTTAAATCCAATTGATCCACCAAAAATTCGAGATTTATCAGAAACAGTACAGAAGCAACATAGTTTAATTCCATCTGGAAGCTGTATTATTCATTACAAGGATGATAAAATTGAATTACATTTAGTCGGTTGGCGAGGAACGTCCACTTTTAGAGCGTATATTGATGTTGATGACTCAGTTCACATGCTAAGATTACTTGGAAGTGATATATCTAAATATGGTGAGTGATTCTGATGAAATTATATTAATTGTGGGTTCTGTCTAATAGCTTGTTTACATGCAGTCAATTGACATATACTTTTTAAAACATTGTAGCAATTTTATTGTGACAATATCAAATTGATGAAAAGCTAGCGTCTTTTTAAAATTCAAAATTTAACGCTCTGTGAAATTTGAATTTTACCGGATATCAAAAATTCAAATATTTTAAAGTTCAAAAATTGAACTTAAAATCTAACGTCTTTCAAAAATTTGAATTTTAACTGCTTTTTACAAATTTGAAATTTTTTCATCGTGAGTTCAAAAATTGATATCAAATATTTTAAAGTTCAAAAATTGAACTTAAAATCTAACGTCTTTCAAAAATTTGAATTTTAACTGCTTTTTACAAATTTGAAATTTTTTCATCGTGAGTTCAAAAATTGAACTCTTACTGAATTCAAATTAAAAATTTAACGGTTTTTCCAAATTTTATCTATAAAACTACAAAACCAAAATCAATCATAGTTAAACACTTTCAATTCATCAAATACCTGAATTCCGATAATTTTTATCACATTATTTCTTTCATTCACTCAACAGAAACAAATAAGTTCGAAGAAAAGGCAAAACGTGAAAAAACAGCTGATGACGACACAAACATCGAGAATAATGGAAAGGAAAACACCGAGAATGTGGGAATTTCCGAGCGAACAGAAGAGGAATTACTTGGCGAGGATGAGCTAATGGATGTAAATCAACAAGATATAACTGAAGCAGCAGAAGAAGAACTTTTAGCTGATTAAATAATAATAATTTTTTTTGATAAGAATTTAAATGTTATGTCACTAACAAGACGATAATGATTTATTAAAAAGATAATTGGAAATAAAATTAACGAATCATCAAAATTTGAAAGCATACATATTTGTTGCTGATTTTTGCGGCTGTAGATGTAGATGTGTTGGACATTATTTACATTTTCTCTTGAAGGCACTTTGCTGAGATCATGTACAAGAATTTACCTTTTCAAATCAAATCTGAATAAGACTAGCCACAGAAACTTAATGTAATGACAAAATATACTCTATTAAATCGTAGAATGAATAGTGAATATCGAATAAGTCAACGTAAATTAGCAGTGATTGTGATAGTGACATTTATACTCTTCCTATATGCTCTAAACCGAAACTCTTCGTGTGATAATGACGAATCCTTATCTAAGGAATCTCAACATGATGTTGATAATAATTTGCCAATAATTTATGCAGTAACACCAACTTATTATCGTCCTGTACAAAAGGCTGAGTTAACAAGGTACAACTTCCTCTTCATTACATGATTTTTTTTTTGTCTTCTCTGTTTTATGTGTCTTGCTGTACACATCACATTAATTGTCTACCTTTTTATTTATTACAAGGTTATCGCATTTATTTCGTTTGGTACCAAACCTGTTTTGGGTGAGTTATTACTTACTCATTATTTAACATTATTTGATGATAATTATATCCTTCAAATGTCGTCTCAGGTAATTGTTGAAGATGCAGAAGAGACAAGTGCCTTAGTAAGAAATTTAGTAAATCGAGCTGGTCTATCAAATCGAGCCGTGCTGCTACATGCGAAAACACCAACGGATTTTAAACTGACTAAAAAGGTGAGAAGACTTAATGGATGTCCATTGTTGTATTGTTAATTAATTTTTTCTACTTTTTTTTATTTGCTCTTTTTAGGATCCTCATTGGTCGAAGTAAGTTCATTGATATTTGTTTAGGCATTGCTATTATATTTATTTACAGAAAATTGTTTATGTTAAACAGCTACAAATTAAGCTTAGATGTTATTTGCTATGAATTAAGCTTTGAGATTACAATTAATTTCTAAATTTGATATAAAAGGAAGTGACTTGATTTCATCAGAAAAGAATAACTGAAAATAATTTCATAAATTGTGAAAGCTTACAATTTTGTATATTACACCATAATGATAAATGTCAACATTTTTATAAATTAAAATATTTTTCTTAATCTTCAAAGTCAAAAATTAAACGAATTTTAAAAATTTGAATATTAAGTTCAAAATTTGAACGTCAGATTAAATTTTGTTTTGAATTTTTAAATAATTTTGAACTTTATCAAAGATTTTTTGAATTTTTGAACTTAATTTTGATCAAGAGGCTTAAATTTTTAAATTGGTTTTCTTTTCATTTTTTGATACTAGACTTCTAGACCCCCCTCCAAAATTTATTTGTTTTAATGGCCCCAAAACCTCAGACTCCTCCTTAATAAGTGAACGGAAAGATATTTTGTACCATTTTGTATATAAACCCCCTCCCCCCAAATTAATCTGAATTTAATTCTTCTTTTATTTGAAATGTTACAAAATCCTAGTACCCCCCCCAGCTTTCTATGTAACTTACAAGTTGACGATTTGATTGATCTGTAATACAAAAATTTGAAAAATTTGTAAGATATTTTAGTCCTTCTTCTTCTGTAAGATCTTATCATCCTTAAAAAAATAGTGGATTACTCTACAACATGTTAGGTCAGGCAATGATCAGGAAATTCCCAAAAAAATCATCAAAAAATAATATTTCCAAATAATGAAATCACTTCCCATAACATTATAAGGATAGTTTTTTGTTATCTTCATTCTAAATTATTACTTTTGCAATCTTTACTACCCCAATAATATTTTTGCAAATATTTTTCATGGTCAATTCTACCTTCAATCCCTTATTCCTATCTATCTTGACTACCCCATTAAAAAAGTAAAGCAGATGTATTACAATCGAGTCAAAGTTCACAAGGGATAAGAAATTTATGGGTGTGAGAAGGGAGACTGGGAAAGCATGTGGACTGTATATTGTAGACTAGAAGCTCTTGTTACCCTTAAAAGTCATCAGATTTTTGAGATTTTTTCGACAGTTTTAAGAACAAAAGACATCGAAATAATAAAATAAAAAATACTCTAGTCTACATCCTTAATATTAACTCTAGCTCAACCCACATTCATATCCTAATTTAAAAATCAATAAATTGCAGACCACGCGGTGTTGAGCAACGCAATGAGGCACTGAAATGGATCAGAAAGAAAGTCAAACACGAGCCAGGACATGCTATCGTGTATTTCATGGACGATGATAATAGCTATAGCGTTGAGCTGTTTGAAGAAATGTCAAAAATTCAAAGATCAAGAGTTGGAGTATGGCCAGTTGGATTAGTAGGTGCAATGTATGTCGAAAAGCCAATCGTTGAAAATGGCAAGGTTGTTGGATTCAACAGGTGGGTAATCAAGAAGAATTTTTTCAAAAAAATCATTTTTTTACAATAAGGAACGTCTTTGCAGCATGTGGAGACCTGAACGACCTTTCCCAATAGATATGGCAGGTTTTGCAATTAGCACTGATTTACTCGAATCAAATCCGAGCGCCATGTTTAGTTATGAGGTGCAGAAAGGCTATCAAGAGTCTGAAATTTTACGACATGTTACGACACGCGACAAATTGCAGCCGATTGCATCGAATCAAATACTCGTCTGGCATACAAGAACGGAGGCTTCAAAACTAGATAATGAAACAAAATTGGTCAAGAAAGGTCTTCCTCAATCTGATAATGATATGACTGTTTAATATTGTTTCTATTTTAATTTAATTTAATTATAAACGAAATCTACCTTGAAGTATTTTTGGAATAAAAAAATTGATAACTGACAATATGAATTTGAATTTTTAATGTTGCTCACACAAATACATTTGCATTATTGGTCTATGATTTTATGGGCGATTCTGCAGACTGTAGGGATGTTTAAATTGCGTTGCTCAAAATTAAAATCATAAATTTTTGGGAAAATGTGAAGAAATTAACGGAAATTTTTTATTTAAACTGTCTTGTGTTATGTAATAATGAGGTGAGATTTGTGTTTTCATGAATTTTTCAGATATTAGATGTGTTTGGAAAGATTCTGATGCTGCCGTTTGATAATTTTGGGTATATTGATTGTTTTGAAAAGATTAAAGCTTGTTAAAAGCAAGCAGAAGTAGATCAATTTATAAATTTCTTATTAATGTTCAAAATTTAACTTCATTTTTGCAAAACAAAGCAATATTTTGAATTGAAATTTTCCGTTTCATTTTGAAAAAGTTTCTTGAGCTTTGAAGTTAAAAGAGTGTTTACGCATTACCATCTATTGTTAAATCTAATAAAGTTTAAAAGAAGACTCATAAATCATCAAAATTGCACTTAAAAATAAAGAATTAAGGAAAATTAAATGTTGACAAAGACAACGGGGTTCAAAAATTCAAAAAGTGAGTCTCGCAAAACCAAAACAGTGTGAACAATTCAAAAATTTACAATAACTCGCAAAAAGTTTGTTTTGTGGAATTGGCTTTGATGAAAATTTGATATTTTCAATAAAATTAAATAATTTGACTATGAATAACAGCCGTGTCAAAGTCTAAAAGTTTCCAAAGTTATAGTTTACAGTCGAAAGTATCGGATAATATCAATAGAACTTAATGTCCAGTGAAAATTCAGTGATTTTATGTGAGAAATAATAAACAAGTAAGTGAAAATCAAATCTTCCCGCAGTAGCAATTGCCCAATTTTCTGTAGCTTAGTGCAACATGTAGCTCTATTATTCACTTCGCTATAAGTCTCTTCGAAGTCAGTAACTTAAAATTTTACTTCGGGGAATTTATTATTTTTTCTCTAATTAACCAACTTTAAAAAATCCAAAATTGCCTAATATTGTGGCCTTTCGTTATACACTACCAGGAAATAATCGGGATAAGTGAAAACAAGGACCCAAAAATTGATTGAAAAAATATAAAAAAAAAGAGTGCGAAGTGAAATTTTCATTTTTTTTTTGTTCGTCGTTAATCAGAAGGAATTTTCTTGATGAAAAAAAAAGGCAATCTATCTCAATAATACGACAAATTAAATACATCGGAATTTAATAGACATCCTAGACTCACTCGTCCAGGACCTAGAAAATTCTCGTATCGTCCATAACGTTATCAAATGCGTGGCAAATAGTTCGTGAAATCATAGAAGAAAAATCTTTTTTTTTCACAAAAAAGCTGAAATTTTCTTCTGAATAAAAAAAGAGAAAAAAAAAATCGCGAGTGTTACAAGAAGAAAAAAAAAATCCCCAATCGTATAGACACACACATAAGCCATAATAAAATCAAAATCAAAAAAAAATACAAACGTAATAAAGGGGGAATTAATAGAAATAAAAGAGATATCCATCCACATAATAAAATAATATAATATAACGAGAATTAAGAAAAAAAAATATAAAATATTACCTGTGTAAATATCAATCTATATATATATATTTAGTGCTTAATTGTGTATGTGACATATTAATTTTATAAGAGCAAAAAGCAAAATATAATAATAATATAATTAATATCATAAAAATAAAATAAGTTACAAGAAGGAATACTACATAAGCTAATAAATAATTTAATCATCTATAGTACGAGAGCAGTAAATTATAAAACACACAAATATAGAGAGAAACAGAGAGACAGAGAACCATAAACGAAAAAAAAAATAGTCGTATTAAGGAACGGGTCAGTGTGGTGTGATAAGATGGCTTCCAGTCTCACAGCCGATTCATTCTTCAACTTATCCACTCAACAGCAACAGAAAAATAATTACAATAAGGAATACATTTATGTTAAGCTCACGGATTCTGCATTGCGTGCCATTGAAGAATTTTTAAAGAATCAAGTGGGTACCAAGCTTCAAATTTCATAACGTTTGCGAACTGTCTGTGAACTTATTTTTTTTTTTTTTTTTGGTTTCTATATATAACTTTTCTTATTATTTTTCGTCAATAAGACGTACTTAGTATAATGGAAAGAAATCAGACATAATAGTAAGATATTTTTTTTTTCATATATTCAGTCGTGTCCAGATTGATTGTAGCGCAAATTAAATCATTGAATTTCAATCTTTCCGTGCTTCGCAAAATATATATATAAAGACTTTATATATATATTCATTCGAAAACAACCAAGCAAAAATTTTCTCTTTTTGTTATAAGAAAAAATAAAATAAATGAACGTAAATGGCATATACACGTAGCAAAGCACCAGCCAAGCTAGCTTAGCAGCAACCAACTTTTGGTGTGTAAGCAACAATATCTTTAAAGGCGCCCTGATTAATATGTGTATGTTAAAAAAATGTATATACATTATAATCGTCGATGTGTGTATTGGATGAAAAAAAAATTGTACATATGGTTGGATGATTGGCTAGTTACTTGCTGTTTGGTGCAATAATAATAAGAAAATGAAGAAAAAAAAAGTAAGAGGAGAGTGTGTATGAATGAAAAAGACCAATAATGTTGTTTAATTAAATTAAAATAAAAATTATAAAATCAGGTCTGATCCATATTGCGAAATAATTTTTTTTTGAAAAAAATGCAGTACTAAGTCTGTTTAGATAATAATTTTTTTAATGTCATAAAGTGGCAGGTAGATAAGAAGAAAATGTAGTATAATTAAAACTGACTTGAGAGTGCATGGAACACGCATGGATGTGGATGAAAGCGCATAAAATTAAATTGTGAAAAAATTAACGGCCGTGAAGAATTCAAATTTTATGCTTCAAAAAGTAGCGGTTTAAAAATATTCAAAATTAAACAGTTCTCAAAAATTCAAATTGAGTTTCTTTTCAAAAATTGACAGTCAAAATATTTTTATAAAAAAACAGACATTTTAAATTTGAAAAATTGTAATTATACCCCCCCCCCCCCCCCCCCCCCTATGATAGACAAAAGAGTGAGACAGAGAATTCTTATCCATATAATTTGTTTTGAGTATGAATGAGCAGCAGCAGCTGTAGCCAGTTATCAGCAAATAGCAAACAGCATTATTGCGTGAATGAAATTCCAATCAAGGTGGTGAAAAAAAAAAACGATATCCAAATGAAAAAAAAAATCATACGAAATTGATGGAGAAAAAGAGAAAGAGGCCAACAAACATGAGAAAGTTAACGGAATGGTGAAATGGAATTATTTAGGTCATAGACGAACTGTTGATCCTAATAAAGTCAAAGGCATGGCGAAAACAGATATATGTATAACGCACATACATATATATTTAGGTTGATAGATCGAGTCCACACACAAAAAAAAAAAATTAAATAGAAATAATTGAAAATGAATAACAAGTTGCAATTTCATAACACGGTTTCATCGCGTGCACTGTAAACGCATTAAATGTGGTATTTCGCGACCTTTTGTTTGTTTTTTAAAAATGAATATTTCTTTTATTCGAAGAAAAAGATATATTCAAAAGAATGCATATTAGGTCAGTTATAGTATACTTGAATATTTTTAGCGACCTGCCTTTGATTGACAGCAAGCTCATGACATTATTCCGAAAAAATTAGTGACTTATTTTATTACACCAAATTAAAGCTGTCACGTGAAAATTAGAGAAACAAATTGGAATTTGAAAGTTACATATTTTGAAAGTGAAATTATAGTCGCTTTAACTCAATTTAATAGTGGAAAATTTTCTATAAATTCTTTTTAAGGAAACGAGTCGGAAAAAGTTTTCGTGACAAAAAAAAATTCTACTTTGACTTAGAAAAAGAATTGTTTGTTGGTAAATTAGCCGAATAATAGAACTTTTTCTTTCGTTTTGACATGTCTGTGAAATGTATGTTAATTGGAACGATCAATAACTTAATGTATGGATTTGGAATTGCTAGGAAACTACTAACATACTAAATGTCATAATTAAAAGAACTGAAATCATCCCTTTCCCTCTCATTGTAACATTCAATTATTTTAATTTTCAAACTTAATCGTATCGATGTGAATGTGTGCTTTTTTTTTCAAGGGGAAAATGACTTGATGGAATTTTTATTATTTCTCTTTTTCAAATTTCTACAGTTTTTTTTGCAAAGTCTTGTGGATTTTTTCATTCACAATTGTTTTCTTAAGTTGTCTTACAACATTATGTAAGGTTACACGCTCGAATTTCGGAACTAAGTGTAGACTTTGAAGTAAATTAACATCTTTTGATTTGAATTATGTAAAAAAATCTGGCAACAATTTTTATTTATTTTTTATGAATTGATTATGAATTTTGAAGTTAATCAATCTTTTCTCATTTTTCTGTAATGCTTTGCGTGCATTAATTTATGCATTTGATTTTTTTTTGTTTGTCGTTTTGTGAAAGTTGATGAAAATGTGACCTTTAGACAGCTTTTGAAAACTAAAATTAGATAAAAAATCTGATTGGGAAGTTCTAGAATAATAAAGACTTAAGTTGAATGTTTAAATGTTAAATTGAATGATTAAAGAGTTTAAATAATGAAAACGTACGTAAAATTATCAAACTTTTAAAATTTAAATTCTTCAAATTCTTGAGGTTTAAATGAGAAAATGAACTTTTAAGTTCGACAACACAGGCTCAAGTTCGAAGTATAATAATCTATAAACCTCGAGCAGGAATCAAACCTATTTTAGTTTTCTCCCGACAATCTTGAGAAGCGAGGTTCGATTCCCGTTCGATGAATTATCATTTTTGTTAAAGCTTAATTGACTTTTTTCAAAAAAATCAAGAACATTTTTGAATATTCTAAACTTTTCTCAAATTACGTGCGTTTTTACGAACAAATTTTACAATAAATAGTATTTACTTTTAAATTAGATCCAAATCAAAAGCGTAGAACTGAAAAATCATATTTTGATCAGTTCCACGCCCCTGCATCCAACTTTTAATCACAAAATTCTTCAAAATCAAATTGCAACCCAAATGTCAAATCTTTAAAAATAGAAATTTTAAAACAAATCAAATTCTTCATGTCCACACATAATCTACAACCCACGTAGATTTCTATTACATAAAAGAAACCTGATAAAAGATTTTTTTTAATGAACAGTTTCACATATTTTAGGTTAGATTTAAAACACAAAAAAATAAAAATAAAAAAAAGAGATTTCAATTCACTTCACTTCCCCCTTGAAAGCTTTCATGTCATTCGCAAAAAAAAATGTACAATAATTTTGAAATGAAATAGTCATTTAGACATAACCATCAATGAAATGAAAAAAAAAATTAGATGATACCTGATTGTGGCAAAAATTGTAACTTGAATATGTGTGTAGATTTGCGTGATTTATATTCGTGCGCTTGACTCACAATGTTCGCCATTGTTTCAATGATCTTATTTCTATTTTTTTTGTGTTTAGTAATTTTCATATTTAATAACGCTCATCCTTTCCTCCATTATTTCAATGCTGTTTCGAAAAAAAAAAATAATAGAAGTAATAATGGTTTTGAATGCTTTTTCGCAATGATCAAAAAAAAACATGAAAAATGTGTGTGTGACGTTATAGGAAATTCTTAGTGACATTTAATGAATATTTGTGTGTACGAGGTGTGTTGAATTTGTGAACAAGAGTAACAGTCAAAAGACAGATAGAGGAGATATACATGTACACAGAGTAGATAGTTATAGTAAGTTACCTTGACGGGGCCCTCAGATATATATGCACAAATATATAGACACACAATATATAAAGTCATGTGTCAGTATGTGAAATTACACATTTTGCATTTCATTTCATTTCGAATACATAGAGATATAATATAATAATATATAGGTACTGAAACAAACAAGTAAGCAGGCTCATAACAAATTTGCACAATATTTTTTTTATACACTTATATTCATTTTCAAAAACGCAACAACCTTCTGAACATTTATTTTATTTCTAGTCTGTAATTGTGAATGTGTGCACTATACGTAGATCTACGTGATGGTTGTTGTATGTCTGAGATTTTTTTTTCATATTCTCTATGGTGTTGTTTTTGCTGCTGACTGGTGCCATTTAGAGTTATTTTTTGATATACATTTTTTGTGTTGTTGTTTTTCAATCTTTTTTCGTGGTGCAAACATTTTAAAATATTAGCATTGGAATTTCCAATAATGTATGATGACTAACTTGATATCAAAAATAAACTTTTTTTTTAATTGTTGTCATGTCAACTAAAGATGATAATTATCTCCTATGCACACATAAGTGTTATAGTAACAACAATAAACAAACTATGAAAATGTTAATGAACTTCCAGGCACATAAAAGAATTAATTAAATATGCTGCATTGCCATTTTTAAAAATGCGATCCAGTTTGCTTCGTTGGTTTTGCGATTATGCAAAAAAAAAATTATGGTTCCATTTCTGATGCAATTATATTTATTATATATTCAGTCTATAGACCACAAAGCGAAGCTTTGACCTTTTAATTTTTTCAACTTGCTATTGAACACAAATTTGTGTATTTCAATTCTTTTTTTTTCCATTAATTTGTATTATTTTTTTTTTCAACTCGTTGAGCTCTTTTACATTATTTTAATTTCTATTTTAAAAATGTCATTCTTTTGCTGACATATTATGAAGACAGTTCGCAATCGTTCAAAAACGACTTCTCAATGAAAAAAAAAAATGTTATGAAAAAAATAAGAAAATAGAAAAGAAATTATGAGAAGTGTTTCACATGGTACGAGTGTTAATGATTCTTAAACGTAACAAAATTATATTCACAGAACAAGTATGGATCTTCAAACCCATCGATACAATTTCTTGGAAACGAAGGTGTAAGTATAACTGCATATTTCTATTTATCTTTTTATAAATCTTAAAATGGAGTAGATGATTTTGAAATTTGTGCACTTTCACGAGATTTTCTAGGAATTTTCGATATGATTTTTATTGGAATTTCTCTTCTGAAGAAAAAGAGTTAATTAAAAAATTGTTTATTTTAGTCTGAAGTTGATGATGAACTCTTTAGTACGATGAAAAATCTAATTTTGGACATGAGTAAAATTAATACCTACATTCAAATTTTATATTTACAGAAGTTAAAATTAAATGAAAGGTCAACAAAGTTTTTAGAGCAGAGTAAAAAAAAAGTTGCAAAAATGTTCAATGAAAATGAAATTGTGTTGCATTTATTGAATGTTGAGGCAAGTCTTTAATTTTTGGTGGTTATAAAATTGCTTTTTAGACATCACACCTAGCAAGGTTTCTAGAGTTTCTGAAATTATTGTTGATTTCGAATTGAAATTGCCACTAAATAGTTTCTTGCTTCTTCCTCGTGAATTTTGGATATTGTAAACCATTTCTTATCTTTTCAAATTCTTAAGTATGTCTAATATTAAAACTTGATGTCTAGTTCCAAATATGATATTAGAAACAAATAGAATGAGCTTCATTTTGATAAATTTATTCTGGTCCAGAAGCAATTCAATATGAAAAGGAGGAACAATTTATAAGTTGAATCAAAACTAAAGTCAATTAGATTCAGTAAGATTTCAGAAGTTCTTAAACTTTGCCAATAAGGAAAACTAGCTTTCAATTCAACTCTTTCAAATGTCCTTTAAATTTTTTGAAAAATAGAAACTTTTAATAAATTGTCAAGTTTAAAATTACATTTTAAATCTCATAAAATTACAAGATTTTAGCTATGATATGCCAAGAGACGATGTCAACGTTGATTCGAAATAAGTTTAAACTTGTTTCGAATGTATTTCGAACAAAATTTCGCAATTTCGAAAATAATATTTTTTATGAAAATTTTAACTTTTCGCAATTTTTGACTCAATTCACTTATTATTTAAGAATTGAATCCTTCAACTATGTCTTTTAACACTCATATAATCGTTTAATCGATGATAAATGCAGCAAACATTAGTTTAATATGATTGTTTTCAAAAATATTCTAAATTTTTTGTTGTTGTTTACATTGAAAATTAAAATGTCATTAATTCACTTGCATTAATTATTTAATAAATAAGTAATGATTCATTACAGTTGAGTCGATTTATTTAGCATTTTGATGATGAAAAACAAATATTTAAACCATTAATTAAAGAGAATAGACATTATTAATTTAACGTGTAAAAAAAATTTGAACTAATGCTCGAAAATAAGGTACCAAAAAAAATTCAATATCGAAAATAAGGACTCGTTGGCGTACCATAGGATTTTAGTTGTTTCATCAATTGTTTCTTGTTTATAACCTAGTTGTTGTGTCAAACCTTGTAATTAATCTCATAAAATTAAAGAATTAAGTTTGAGAAGTTCTGCAACTAAATCTTTTGATTCATCAAATAATCCGAACAGTAAAACTTTTTATAATAAATTTAATAATAATCTCCAAATTTAATTCATGAATCACAATCTGAACCAATTTTCAGATTTAAATGTTGCAAAAATAAAAATATCTATTCAGTTTAATCATCATGACATTTCGATTAAATGACTGCTAAAGTTTCTCTATTTTCGGTACAGTAGTAATTGTAATACTTTATATCCGGATAGTGAGTTGTGGCCTTTAATATTTTTTTTTCAATTATTCATCGAAATTGCTCGTAGCTGTATTATGTACGATGAATTTAGTGTAATTATTCATTATTAAAAATTTAATTTTTCATTGAAAAAGTTGTGAAATAAATTCCTAGATTCTCTCAAGTGCTCAAAAATCTCAGAATCATTTACCCTATAACTTCTTTCACTTCAAAAAAAATAAGAAAAGAAAGAAAAAAATCCGTTCATTTAATTTTTTTAAATAATACTATATTATGTACACACAAAATTGCATAATTGACATGGAACACGATACAACTTGCCTGCCTGATGTGAATGAGTGAGATGGAGTGCATTTCTTGGTGCTCCAGCTTACGTGCATACCAAAGCTTCCATAATATATATCTATATGGCTTACGCTTGACTTTCTGTGTTAGTGCTTTTGAAAATAAAAAAAAAACAACGAAAAAAAATAACAATTTTACATCCGTGATTGAATTAGTGGCGGGTGCGCTAAAAAAGCATACAATGGACATGCATGCAATTTTTTTAAATATTTCTTCTTTATTTCTTCATTTATGAGAAGGTTAAAATTACGACGTTAGCATTTATTTATAATAAATAAGGTTACTCTTTTAATGCCACACGAAAAATATGTAAAAGTACTGACTGGTTTCTGTACCTCAACATCCATCGCGAATCAATTCATTTTGTTAAATTTAACATTTTCATATACGCAAAATATTGTAAATGAATTGCAAGACAATGTAAAAATTGTGTTTTTTTAAGAAGAAAAAGAAAGAATCCAATCTAAAAGTATATCCAAGGTTGGATTCATACTGTAGCATGAATATAATTGTCCATGCGAGCGAAAGAGATAGAATGATTAAAATGCGTCAAGATTGGGTCGATGGGTATTTAATAATAATTTTAATTCCAACTCCAATATAAATTGTCTTCAATGCTAATGTCTTTGTAATGGTGTTATTCAGCAGTATTATTTCTCATATTTAGATATAAATATGATTGTACCAAATGTGCTAGTATTTATACATGTTTGCCATGCAGAAACCACTGGCACTGGAGATACAAAAATAACACAGAATATATATCCATCGAAACCAGTTTACGATTTAAAAAAATTTATTTATATTTTTTTCATATTTTTTTTTAAATTCAACAGCTCTATGGAGCTCACCACTAAGACCTTAAACATTTTTTTTTCTCCTCTCGATGCCATTACTGCCGCAATTCAGCTTTATGTCTCATGGCTGAAAATGTATTTATTTCTTGAGAGACCTTAACGTTGTTTTTTTTTTGTTACTTTTTATTTCTGACGAAAGATTCAATGAAATTGCAATCAAAATAAAATCTTTGAATGTTGAAAATAAAGAAAGAGAGGAGGAATGCAATTTCAATTATTTTAATATTTTTTCCTCTCTTTATTTCATTTCTATCGATAGCTGGTCGCTTTGAAAGTCATTTAGAAAACATACAAAAAAAATACTCAAAAAATGAGATCGTTTCTATCCTCACGTTTTACGGAAACTTTTTATGTTTTTGTCACATAATACGTGTGATTGAGTGTCTTTGTTCTTAATTGTCATTAGGTTCTGTTGATAAATTAAGAACAGCTTATCAATCATTCTAGAAAAAAATAAAAATTTGATTAGCCAAAAAAAAGTACTTGAAGACGAGAATTCTGTCAAAATACGTAATAGGAAAATAAAAATTAAGTAACAAGAGTCAGAGATTATATATAAATATATATATATATTTTTTTCTCAATCCAATTCTTTCTCTCATAAGTTATGTACAACTCGACACAACAACCACACGAAAATATATATTTTTTTCATGCTCCTCTAAATCAGTTGAACGTGTATTTTTACTTTTTTATATAAATGTTGGTATATTAACGCATTTTTTTACCGTAACAATGTGATGTTAGGTGCAGTTTGACTCAAATGGCAAGATCATGCTCAGTAACATCTTCATTGTGTTAAAAAATACTCTCAATTTTGAATAGTTTATTGCCCATGAGATTCGATGATTGTAAAAATTGTTCTCGTTGATTCTCGTGTTTTTTTTTTATCGAAGGCTTTTTAATGAAAATAATTTCACGTGTGTCTATCATTCGCTTCGTCTCTGTCGGCGACAATTTAAAATGAGATAGATATTGTGTTTATTTAATAAAATATTTTCTATTAAATATAAAATACCAGAAAAATGTCAATACAGATCTCTCATCGAATGAGTTTTATTGTTTTTCGTTAGCCGGGAAAATTAATAAATAAATTTATTGAGTCAGTCGGAGGAGTTTTGAGGTTATTAGCACCATTTCTCACTTTCTAATACCTGTTAACCCTAGTTTGGAGGCTTCTAAAAACTGCTTAATAAATGATAAATGAAATTATTGTAGAACAGCTGTTTCAATTTGAAACATGTTTTTCCGAGACACGATTTCCTGTCTCTATGCTTTATTTGCTCAAATTTTCTATTTTGATGACTCGTTCAAGCTTTCCAAAAATTGATTGAAGAAATTTCAAATGTTTTTGCAAACTATTTCTATTCGTAAGTCCTAATCTTCAATAAAAATGTCACACACCTTCAAATAGTCTTCCTTAAGAATAAAATTGTCATTTAGAATATTTTAGCTATTTTAAGACATTATTAACTGAAGGCTGAGAATCTATATTCCTTTGTAGCTTTAAATATTATTCCTTGAGCTGACACAATGTCAAATAGAATAAAGTCCCATATTTTTATTGTAATTTCCTGAATTTTTCCTCAATAAAACGCACAGCCAAAAGGTGATTCTCATGATGAAAATAATTCTCAAACGACAGGATGGCGCTTCATGTTGATTTATAAGCCTTAAGAGGCACTTTAGAAGTCTATAAAATGATTTAGTATTAAGAATATTGAATGATTCTGTAAGCAGACAATATTTTAGTCTGGATTATTAGAGAACTTTATTGATTTGATTCTACTGACCTTTGAGAAGGTTCTAAAGATTTTAAAATGTGAATGGGTTGCTGTCCTACTGAATAAGCTCCTTTTTGAGATTTTTAGGGAGGATTCAGAGCTTTATTTACTTGATTTCTCATGAATCCAGAGTAAAATGAGGAGATATAAATTTTCTAATGATTGCATGATTAAGCTTACTTGTAGAGTCTTTAAACATCCTTAAATAACGATTTGTACAATTGAATTTGAAGATTCTAAATTGCCAACTCAATGGTCTAAAGATCCAAGTCTCAAACCATCCACATCAGCTTTCATTCAGTCTAATTTGACCGTTTCTTTTAATAACAAAACGAAGAACCACTACTTTCATCCGAAAAAAAATTGCTATGTGGCACAAAAAATCTAGTCATTGAAGCCTTAAGATTGCAAAACATCTGAGCATGCTTTCAATTACTTCCATACATATTTGAGATACTTGACAATACAACAATTGTCCTCAATGTCCAAAAGAATCCTTGAAAATCGATGAAAGTATCAAAACATCATTGAATCAATATTTTAAGTGACTTTTCAGAACTATATCAGTAGTGTTCAATCCTTAATTGTAAACATTATATGATCAATTAAATTAATAATAATTTTTTATTAACTTGTCCATAAAGAAGTGGAAGAGAATTAAAAACAGAACCAATTAAAATTTTTATTTTCTCCATCTTCATAAGAGACCTTCAATTCATTTCGCAAAAAAATAAAATACATACACCTCGAAAAACTATTTCAAGCACTCAATTCCATAGAAAAAAAAGCGTTGTTGCCATATTGGCAGCAATTCATGAGCCAGTACTTGTTTTAATTTCAATCCAATCTTAAATACATGCTTACTTCTTATTATTACTTTACTTACTTATGTCTATATAATAATCATTTTCAAATAATATTTCTCTCCATGATTTTTTTTTGTTTTTTTTCTGCTACGTGAACTTTTTTAGGAAAAAAGAAGGAACAAAAATAAATCAGATTATGGTGATCATCTATGAGTTTTATTTTTGTAACCTGAACCCTCTTCTTGTTTCCTTTAATAGATGAATAGGCATTGCTAAAATGTCATTTACAATTGATTATTTATAAAGTATGCTTGTTACAACTAGTGAAGGCAAAAGATATACACATGTATAAAGAAATATAAAAAAAAATACTTTCACTTGGAATGCACAAAAACACACAAACACAAAGGCACAAGTTTATTTGGAACCCATGCTTTATTTTTTTTTTTTTCGCTATTTATTGCTTTGTATGTGCATGGAGTTGATTGTGACGTAATGTCATGTCGCGGAAAATTAAAATTTCAATTACTTTTTGAGATTTTATTTTTTTTCACCTTTCTTTTCTTATTCATTGAAATATCTTTTCTTCTTATTTTGTTACTCATGCGAGTGATAATATTATATACTTTTTTGTGACATTGTGCTAATGAAATTTGTCTGAATCTATTTTTAGTTCTTGTCATTTCCATCACTCGGTAATAATGGCAGCAGCAGTCAACAGATGGAACAAAAATTTAGCTTTCAGTTAACGGATATGGAGGAAACACAGGGATCATTTGAATGCCTTCAGCAAGCAAATGGATCAATGAATGTTCTTGGTCCAGTTCAATATAAAATGCGTGTTCAAGCACAAGAGGATGTTTATGAGAACACGCGACGTAGTATGGCGCAGGCAGCTCAAAATCAAAAAAATAAATGGTGAGTTTAAAATTATTAATATTATTGTTAAAATGAATAAATGAAAAAAGGCTGAAATGATGATAACTATATGTAGGTTATCTATACCTACATTTTATGTGTGTTGCAAAAGAACAGCACCTTCGGAAGGAAATAATTAGTACAGAAAGCAAAACTAAGGATTCATTAACATTCTTTTCAATTCTGTTCAATTTCGTTCACATTCATTTTTCATCATAAACCATTATATTTACTTATTTACTTTTGTTTGCTCGTTTGTACGTTCAATTTAGTCGTTATCTCATGTTAAATTGTGGTGAACAATAGTCTACTGATAACGGCCTTTCGTTTACTTATAAGTTATAACGTGGGAACCTATTTCACATAATATATTGAAATATGCTCTTTCTTGTGTTCAATGCTTCTTCGGGTTTATGAGCTTTCGTTTGCATTCATTTGTAACAAAAAAAAAAACTTTATTTTAATGTTCATTCTTTGCTATATGCATGTCTGTATCTAGTGAACAAGTAAGAAAGAAAGGAACTTGAATATTTTATTTTATTCACCACAAAAAAAATTGTGATTGTGGTATAGAATTGGAGTAAAATAACCTCAAGGTAGTTGGTGACTTTGTGTGAATCTCTGATGGATTTATCGACCCCATTAAAATATTGTCATAAAGCTCGAAGCTTCAGTAAATTATCGGTGTATGATGTACGGAAGTTGTTTTATTTTCATAATAAAAGGCAAAAACACTTGTCATCTATTAATGCCAAGTGTATTTATTTGTTTAAGATGACTGTAAAAATGATAAATTTTCCATTAAAAAAAATATCTTCTTTGATCATTTATTCATATTTGCTTTAATTCCGAGAAATTCGTTCAGTTCTTAAGAAGCTTTATTGTGAATTTCAATATTTGTTTTTATTTAAAACAGATTCGAAACTTCTATAAGCTTTATAACAGAGTAAATACAGGAGAACCAATACCTTTTAAATAGAACAGAATTTTACGACTTTACTTCATGATTTTAAAATTTATATTTTTTTACTCAATCTGCATATATGAAAAATATTTGTTTTGTTTATAACTTTTGCTACACATGCAGTCTGTCAATGTTTAAAAGTTGTAAGAGACTTTTCCGTGACAGTTCTACAGGAAGAAATGATCGATATATCTTCAAGTTACTTGTATTTACTTTGTGTTCAGGTGTTGCATGATAAAACACATTTTAAGAAATTCACAAAAAGGTTACTTTAGTTTAATGAATGAATTCATCATTTTGGAATTCCCCAAATTTATTCATTTAATGACTGGGATCTTCCAAAGAATTTAAAAAAATAATATTTCTGTTTTGAAAACAATTGAAAGCCGGGAATGAAATAAAAAAGCTTACCGACAAACGAGTTAAAATTAATGAATGTAGATTAGGCACAATATGTTATCAAATTAGCACAAATTGAGGGTAATTTTTTCTTGGTAAATTATTGTTTTTATGTCAGGTGCATATTTGTTATTAATTTCAATTGGGCTCTTGTTCTCAATTTATGTTATCAAAAAATTACAAATTCCTACTAAGAAAAGGACTTAATTTTAACATCATTTATGACTTAAAAAAAAATTTGAACTCAAGATACAAGACCGATTTAATTTTAAAGTTAGGATTTGAACCTTTTACCTATCAACTTAATAAGCTATAATTTTTATTGAAAATCATTCTCTCCCAATTGTCTATTTCTAACAATTCTCGCAAAAAGCTCATATATTACTTTTCCAAACAATTTGATATAGTTTTCAATTCATTTACTAATAAGCAGCTCCTTGACTTTTGTTTACGATAGGCACGTGCAAGTCAGCTGAGAATTTTTCACGCTGTATTAGTGACTCAAGACTTAAATTCACATTATAAATAAGAAATTCATGCATATTAAAAATTTATATCCCTTTGAAAACGTGCACTAAACGTTCATCGACATGCAAAATAATATATAAACACTCAGACTTAGTAACATGAATAATGATGAATATTTTCATTGAAATTGCACGATGTTTTAAATATCACGCGTTCAGCTTATCATTTAACACCTGGAAATAATTATTGAGTCTTTCGCGATAACGCCCCGGCACTTCTTAGAAGATAAGCAACCAAATTTTCTTCGATAAAGCTTAAAATTATAAACAAAATTTCCTTTATGAATCACAAAGTGCGAAGGTGCAAAAATTAATCTTAAAGGAAATGTCGTTTGGAAAATAAATTAAAAGTACTTAAACCTTCAGATTTAGTCGCAGATTTTACGCTGAATTTTTCACCTTAATTATTTAATTCGCCTAAATTTTCTCAACCTTAACATATTGCCATGCTTATTAAGTTGTTCATGGATATAAAATTACTTATAGAAGGCTCAATTAAATTTAATCTAAATAGGATATACCCGATATACCACAGTAATTGAATATTCGCTATGGTTTGACATTTGACAGTTAAAAAAAATGCTTCAAGTACCAAATTATTGGTAGGAAGTTGATTTCTTGTTTTTGCACGATAAGTTTATATTGCCAAACTCACCTTTCATTGATAAATTTTCATTATGAAATATTAAGAATGCCCAATATAATTGATAAGAATGGAAAATTTTAACGGAAGTAATGATTAATTTTTTGATTGACTTATCTTTAGATAAAATAAAAATTGTCTTCCCGTAAGTTCTAAAAGCATTTAGGGCGATGTTTTCAAGGCAATAGTTTCTGTTTAATTGTATGTACAGATGTATAGGTACGAATAGAGCTATGTTAAATAAAGTTCATCGTTCTGCACCAGTATTTTTATTTATGACGTTTGTAAATTGAATATATGAAGCAATGAGAAGATGATCTGTGGATCTAAATATTTTTTGTTTGTCCTGGAAAAGAGAACAAGTGTACTTTGTGATAATTTTTAATTGATTTTCTGGGTTTTGAACCCTTGACTTTAGGAATTCTTAATTGAATCACTTATCTATTTAAGCTATCAAGCTTTTTATCACATACATTCACCTTTGAATAAAAGGACTCCACGTTATTTCAGTAAATTATTTTGAAGAAGCTATTTCCTTCATTAAGCATTGTAATGAGGAAGAAAATATTTCATGACATTTTCTGAAATGAGGTGCATTTTTTTCTCATCGTTCGTATTCAAATCGCTACGAGTGCGTTAAATTGCAACATTAATAATTCTTCTCTTCTTACTCACATATTGCACTCACTTTATGTACGTAATGTAATTTGAATTTTTGTATACGATTCAGCAACTTATTTTTCACTTCTTCTTTTATTATTATTTTTTGTTTTCTGTGTATAAATATTTAAAGACAAGCGTTTGGAGCAGAAAAAAATGTGTGTTCTTTATTTCACAAATGTTGGAGACACATGAGAAGAAGTGACTTCTTTTAATATTAAAATAAAATAGTCAAGGCAAGTCATTGCCGTCCATTGGAAAGGTTTTTGCTTTTTTTTCTATTTGACGCTATAAAATCTGACTAAAAGAAAGAGAATAAATATATATCGGATAATGAACAAAAAATCTGAACTTACAATAGTGTTGGGTTTTCCCATTTTACGTATGCAGTGTCATGCAACTCAAAGTTCCTATATTCTTATTGTCTTACTACTTACAAAAAAAAAATAATATTATCCTATAGTAAAAAAAACTTCTGTTATCAGTAACATAATAATTTCCTCTTCACGTGTGTGATTGTCTTGCCACTTAATTGCCTGTGCCCAAAAATAAAATAAAATGTTACGTTCATTGTGTTCTGTTATCAATACTTCTTCAACCTCAACAATTAAATTTCTTTTTTACTGCTCCTCCTTCGTCGACTGGCTCTTGAACATTTAAATGGGTGATTTCTTGGCAAGGTTTGACAACTTTTTGATGCAAAGGAACTAGTTTTGGGAACTTTATTAGGACAATGATTGAAAACTATTCTTTTTAGGTTGTCTGTGCCAATATCTTCGTATATTTCAGTACGGTTGTTAATACAAGTTTGCCATCCATTGAATTTCTCCGAAATTATGAATCGATTATGTCCTAAAGTTTGCTGATTTCTTGTTCATCTTTTTTGAAGCATTAAAAAGTGAAATTTTTATTTTTCAACTACTGACCGAAAAGAAGTGAGAAGAAAATGGAAAGAAATACAGTTTAGCTTACGAAATTGTTTTGTATTTTGTGTAGTCTGTAGTTAAAGACATACAGTGGCGAATTTTTTTTATGCATCGATTGGTAATTTTTGTGTGATTATTGTGTAAGCAATGAAAGCGATTTTTCAATCTACAATATATATATTTTAACTTAACAAATAATGTGATTACCTTGCCTTAGTTAACTACACGACTTTTAATGTCCATAAAGTTTTTATATTTTGTTTTGTTTTTTGAGCGAAAAAAATAAATATGAAATAAGGTCTTATAACTAACTTGAAGTATTTAAAAGAGCCTTGCTCGTTTTTTTAATTTGCATTTTTGATGAAGGAAATTTGAAATATTTTCAAAGACATAGTAAGTGTCTTACATAAATGTCCATAACCAATTGTACTTTATTGAACAGTAATGAGTTGAGTTGGTCATAAAAGAAAATAAAGTTTTAAATGCCTGACAGATAAAAGAAGCTATAAAGCTATTCGAATGAAATGGGTCGAAAAAAAAATATATAGCTCGACAATTCTTAGAAAGAAAATGAGACAAGAAGAAAAAGTCAATGAGAGAGAAGTGAAGGAAGAAAAATAAAATTGCAAATTGCGTAGGTGGGATGTGAAGACAGAGAGTCGCGGCATGTGCTATTACCACTAAGTATGAGACTTTTTTTTTATCTAAAAGTACGCCAGTCAGACACTGTCAGTATAAATATTGAGGAGAGGCACTGAACTAAAACTCTAAAAATATTTGTCGATTGAGATGAGAAAAAAGAGAAAATCTTTATAAGAAATTGTGATCGCATTTTTTCGTGCTTACTAACTCTTCTCACTCATTGTCTTCTTTTCTTTAAA